GGAGGTTCCTCAAAAAATTAAAAATAGAATTACCCTACAACCCAGCAATAGCACTACTAGGAATTTATCCAACGGATATAAAAGTGCTGATATAAAAGTGGGGCACATGTACCCCAATGTTTACAGCAGCGCTTTCAACAATAGCCAAATTATGGTAAGAGCCCAAATGTCTATCAACTGATGAATGGATAAAGAAGATGTGGTTTATGTATACAATGGAATACTACTTGGCAATGAGAAAGAATGAAATCTTGCCATTTGCAACAATGTGGATGGAACTGGAGGGTATTATGCTAAGTGAAATAAGTCAGTCAAAGACAGAAATCATGTTTTCACTCATATGTGGAATTTGAGAAACTTAACAGAAGACCATGGGGAAAGGGAAGGGGAAAAAATAGTTTCAAACAGAGAGGGAGACAAACCATAAGAGACTTTTAAATACAGAGAACAAACAGGGTTGGTGGGGGGTGCCGGGGAGAAGGGAAAATGGGTGATGGGCATTGAGGACGTCACTTGTTGGGGTGAGCATTGGGTGTTGTATGTAAGCAATGAATCATGGGAATCTACTCCCAAGAGCACACTGCATACACTGTGTGTTAGCTAACTGGACAATAAATTATATTAAAAAAATAAAATTAAAAAACAAAGAAAGAAGAAAGCCAAATTTGAGGGGAGAGGAGATGTTGTTGAACTTGAATCTATATTTCTGAAGAAGAATCGCCTGGAATTTTATAAAAGCAAAGAACACAAACATCATCTTTGTGTTTATATTAGGGATTAAGCATTTTAAAGCATGCAGTATGTATTTTAAACATTTTTTTCTTTTTAATCTTTCATTGCACCTAAAGAATGCTAATAGTTACCAAATTGTTCTTTGGCAGAGTAACCTGGTCCTCTCAGAAAAGAAAAAAGAAAGGAAGTGTGACAGGATGTGATTGTAGCACAAGACAAAATTATGGGTCCTCAACCCTGAGCAGCTATTACCTAATCCAATGATGCCAAACTAGGTTACCCAGGAGCATCTCCCCTCATTGCGTTATGTACATTACACAGCAATGAACAACAGTTTCCATGGCTCCTAATAACGAGACTTTTCTCTTTATTGCGAGAGCAAAGTGGGGGCTTACAGATAATATCTGAGCTTATCTTTGAGCTGCTCGGCCTCCTCATCTACGTGCCACAGCTTCTCTCAACTGGCGCTGGTTATCTCAGGAATAAAGTTTTCAGTCTCTAGAAACAGATTTCTTCCTACAGCCTGAAAACAGAAGGACAAAGATCTTGTTATGTGCGCTAAGATGGTTGAGTGGAGCGAGCATGACTCCTGGCCTGTCACTAACTGTGATCAGCTTTTCAAATCCACATGGAGTGCATTCCCAGCAACTTGTGGCGTAGTGAGGAACACGGATGTTTGTAATGACGCATTCCCGAGAAGCAGCAGTTCTAACAGCCCAGTGACCTAGCTTACTCATTCCAGTTTCTTTGTGCAGAGACCTTTTATTTTCCTGAGTCCTTCACCATGTGCTAACAATTAGACAGTGACTCCATAAATGAATGCCATGGATGGTGGGTGATGTGTTTTCTTAGTTCTTTATTGAAAACATATGGAGATGTTTATATATAAATAGAAAACAATAGAATGCTGCCATCATGTTAGCAGCAGCTAATAAAATTCTACATGAATAGAAATTAAACATGTCTCTACCTACGCCAGAATTCTGGTTTACTGACATCTGAACATCCTGTGTAATTCAGCTTGAAAAGATGTTTTATTATTTTAGGCTTTTTATTCCTAGTTGGGAGGAAATTGTGGGGCAAGACTTGTTTGCTTTTTGGGGATTTTTGTTTTGTTTAGTTTTTGTTTTGTTTACTCTTTCCTTTGCTTAATCAAATTACTTTATTAGCAGGGATGATAAATTCTGCCCAAGCAGACCTTTTATTATGATCATGAAAAATAACTTTAAACTCTATGCATTTGTTTAACTACAGTCCCTGTATTTTTAAATTAAAACCGAGGGCTTGTGGCCTGACACTTGGGAGAAAGCTTCAGCAGACAGGGTGGTGGAGGGTGGAGAGCTTTGGAAAGCAGACCTCTGCATCTGAATTCTGGCTGCTCCACTGACTGACAGGGTAACCTTGGAAAAGTTAGGTAATGTTACTAAACCTCCATTGCTTCCTCTGTGAAATGAGAACTACAGTACCGCTTGTCTCACAGAATGGTTGTGAGAGTTACCTGGCATAAGGTGGAAAGCATTTCCTACAATATCTGGTAATAGGCAGCCCTGAAAAATGCCACCTGTCATCTTTGTAACAGCTAACTGAATGGTTTATGGGGAGACCATCCTTGGAAGTTTGAGAAGTATAGATGCTTAGTAGTAAGACCAGTAAGGACAACCTTATTAAGTGCAAATTCTGCACCAGGCTTCACCATGAACTCTTTCTTACAACTCCGTGAACTGGCTGCCATTGTCATGCCCATTTCACAGAGGACGAAACTGAGAGGTTACATAGACGGCATGAAGTCACACAGCCAATGACTGATTCATCTGAGAATTGAACCCAGTCTGAGTAATTCCAAAGCCCATACTCTTTTATCTCTCTGCTAAACTGGCTGCCACACATACCGTTAAAAACTTCATTATATACATTATTTCCTTATGTTCCTAGCAACATCCTGTGACATTGTACACGGGCATTCACAAACTGTGGAGCCCCTGTCCCTAGGACGTCTGTTCATTTGCAGCCGAATCAGAGGGCCAAGAAGTTCTTAATGCACATTTTGTGAAGAGCTCTGGCAAGTTCAACTCACGCAGCCCCTCTCACTGTGATCCACGAAGGTCTTACCTTTGAAGGTGCTCAAAGCTCCACGTGCACTGGCTCATTATTCAAGCTTTGAAAAAGAGCATTTCTCCCACCCTACCGATGGAGAAGCCAGAGGCCAAGATGACAAGACTTGGGGACAGAGAGAGAAAGCCAGTGACCCCCTTGGTAGCCCAGCATGGAATAGAATAGCGTGGGTCCAGGGCTGTGTCGCCTCACCAGGCTGCTCTATAGTGTTGGGTCTCACAGCCAAACTGCTGCCTAGCCCCACTTTAACCTAAATAGTGCGAGACTAGGAGCACTCTGTCTAATTTTCTTGTTGGAAGGATGGGATCTGCCTGTAGTATGGGAACCCTCACATATAAGATTATCCAATTATGTTTTCATTTGCAGATTATTGTGATGTGTCTATTCTCTTTTTTACAGAGGGTAGAGTTTGGGGTAAGAAGTAGCAGGACATATGAGGGGAGAAGGTTAGGACTGCCAAATAACATGTCAACTTGCTGACCTAGCATCAGTGTGCTAGCTAAACAAGCCCTGAATGTGAGACATTAATGCAAATATTGTGCGTATTATTAACTCTAATGATGCTGCTGTTGTGCAGTAGCCACAGCTGAAAGCTGAGATGACACATTTGATTATAAGTGCCTCAGGTCCTTCTCTGAAAATCACCATGAAGACAGAAACCTCCTAGAAACGAGAGTGGAAATGTGAGAAGACTTCTGCTTTGTTAACTTTATCAATCATTAGCAACAAAGCATGTTGCTAATCCCACGGGCCACCCCATTCAGTCCTATAATTGCCTGCAAGACCCTCCTTTAGAATCCACCATTCCTGTTCTTGCCCTTGTAACAATAGTACGCTTCCATGGCAAGTTAGGAGATCATCGTAAAAAGGAATCTGTTCTAGAAAAAAAAAAAAACATGCAGCCCTCAGACTGTTATGTAAGTGAGAAATCATTCTAATTCAGAACAAGCCTTACTTATCACTCCATCCTATGCTAGTGATGGCAGTGTGGAGTCCTGGGAAGTGTAGGATTCCAGACTCAGCTCTACCATTTGCAACCGTGTGACGTTGAGCAAATAACTTGACCTCTATAATCCTCATTTCCTTTTCTGTAAAACAGCATCAACCTTATAAAGCTGCTTTGTCTACTTTATGGGTTATAGAAGCAGATAAAAGGAGATTGCAAATGTGAAACCTCTCTGGAAGCCCTGTGCAAATGTTATTAATTGACTTTTACTGGGTGAGTATTAAGGAATGGTTAGCGGTGCCATCCAAGGATAGCGTGGGAACAACTCAACCAGGTAGTTGTTGGTACTAGACCAGTCTTGGAGAAGTGAATGGCTCCTGAGAAACAGAAGGTCAGGCTAGTTTTTAGGTCCTTAAACTTGTGAGTCTTAGGGCTGTGTGGCAATTTAGTTGTGCAACCTGGCGACAGCATCTTATATTCTAAGCCCTTGCAGTGACAATATAGGCTACACGAAACCACTGTGTGCTTTCTTAGCAGACTTCATTTGGAAAGAGCTTACAAACTAGTGGCCTGACACAGTTGCCAGGGTTTCAAGTGCTCTGGTTGTACACCAGAGAGAGCAGTGCTTCATGTGTTGTCCTATTAGCTCCCTCCCTGGGGATTCAACAAACGGAACAACAACAACATCAGAAATCCAAGACAGACCTGTCGGTTTGATGCCTTTAAGCTTCAGCAGAACTCACAATTAAAATAAGATCAAATACTCATTTAGAGGAAAGAAAAACAGAGAAATAGGTCCGCAGGGCATACCTTCTTTTGTCTGAGCATGACTCACACTATCTGGAGGTACCTACCATGTAGGAGGAATCGTATCCTGGTACACACTAGGCATTTAAGAAAATTGGTGGAAAGACTATTATTGCTAGCAGAAATAATTGAGTAACTTCAATATTAAGCCTTATATTTCCTTTCATTATATCTTTTTAATCCTTCCAAGTCAACTTGTGTTTGGCAAATCCCAAGATGAGTAATTGTACATCTCAGAGCACTTAACTAACATGCAGACCAGACCCGAGGTCAGGCAGAGAAGCGTGTGTTTTGGTAAGAACTGCCGAGGAGATAAAGCATTTGATTATTATTGTTTGATAGTTCCCAAGGAGAAAGCACAGAGGCAACAGATAACGAACCAACACTTTTCTCTTTTGTTTAGGCAAATATTTCCAACTACAGCCTGGTGATGGAGTCTGATCTGGGAACCTTCTTACCCTCTGGGCTGCAATTCACTGGCAGCGAAAAGGCCAGGACCATCGTGGAGGAGGTCATGAGCCTGCTGCAGCCTGTCAACATCACACAGGTCTTTAGGGCTGGAGAAGGGACAGACATTAACTTCTGGATCCAAGCTGGAGTGCCTGGTAAGACCGAAAGATGAAGTTGGTGTTCCTTAGGTTCTGCTACTGATTTAAAATAAAATTGCTATTCAAACATGCCACAGCGGATACTGATAGGCCAGTTAATACACAGAAACTCTAAGCTTTGTCCATAATCTGATGACTTCCAGACTTGGAATAATAATACTCATTTGTATTTTTTTTTCTAAATTATAAGTTCCTCACTCCCAGAAATTCTGCTTTACTGATTCCTGGATTACACCTACAAATATGTTTGGGTTTTTTTTTGTTATTTTTTAAAACAGGTATCTAAATGGTGATCTCATGACCAAAATTTGAGAAATCGAGTACAAAGCAATTATTACTACTAATATGCTTCTAGTTCTAGCTCTGTGCTAGGAAATCTTTTCTGACCCAAATAATTCCCTACCCAAATACCATGGAATCTGAAATTTTACCAGTAGAGCTTTATTTTTTGAGGGTAGGGTACTTCCTACTCATCTTTTTTTCTTAATGAAAACTCTTGGACATAAACTAATCTCACATGATCAGTGATTTATCAGGTTGATATTTTTAAGACAAGTCCTGGGGAAGGATAAACTTACAGAATAGGAGTTGTCCTCAAGAGGTCACAGAACTAGAACGTGAAACAGTCTTCGTATACTGCTTCTCAAATTTGCCCTAGACTGGCCATGGGAAAGGGTTATTGATGGTATTAAGCATCTATGAACTGAAGTTGTTCCCTCCTTATATCCATAATCAAAAACATTGTTAAAGGATCTATTTGTATTATGCCATTCAGTAGTTTTAACGTTACTGTTTCCAGAACTATTTCTGTGGCTACAGAGCATTCATAGGTGCAAAATAGATTTCACCAATAGCATGCTGCATGGATTTAAGATTTTTAAAAAGCTTATCCTTAAGATATTGTATATTTTTAAAGCATATTTTAAGTTTGAAGGTTTATAATAATCTTTCATAACTAAAAATAGAAGGAGCTTTCCTTTATTCTAATACAAGGACCTAGATTCTGTTTCATGGCGTGTGTACATTTTAACCATATTTTGAAATATCATTTGCATTGATGGGGCTGTGCATCATCTGGACAGATCTGAGACTCCTCACATTTCTGTCAGTTCTAATTACGATCAAGGTCTAAGGGAAGGCAATTTGCCCTTTTAAGCTATATGGAATAATTTGTTTGAATTTTAGATTTTTCCCATGGCTTAACTTTTTTCATAGGGATGTTCTCAAAAACTGAGAAAGCCTGAGTAAGTTTGTGGGGTGGTAAATGTGAGGAAAAGACTGACAGACTATGGGTGAATTGAAGTGGAGACCGGGGGTGTGTGGAGGGCCGGGGAGGAGCTGAAACCAAAACCAGAAGTAGAACAAAGAAACTTGTAAAATCTCTGCTCCCAGGGTCGCTTGCTTTCGTTGCACTGGATAATTGAGAATTTGCTCTAGCTTTATTCCTTCCATGTAGATGTTCATAAGAATGGTTCTGTTTGCAATTAACAGGTTGGTTTGATTGTCTTCACAAAGGTAAGGAGGCCTTTTCCTCTTGCCAACGTGAGGTCAGATTTGATCACCAACTAATGGAGTGGAGTGGGGAATTTGAGATCCATTATGGTTTCTTGAGAATTAATACAAGTTACAATTTCTTGAGCTCTTGTTACTGATCAGGCACTCTATGAGGCTTTTGTAGACACTCTTTTTTATCCATACAACCATGCTAAGGGGAAGGTACAGTCATCCCTATTTTGCAATTAAAGAATCAGATTCAGAGGGACTAAATAACTTAGCCTAAGGCTATCCTGCTCTTAAGGGCAAAAGTTATCCTGAGACCAGGCCACTTTGTTTTCAAGGCTGGTGGCCCTTTTCCCACAATGTGCAGCAACACAGGGGAGTCTGGAATGCTGAGATGGCCTTCCAAATCTATGGCAGTGTCTGAAATGTTTGTCTTACTCAGCTCTTACTTATGCAAAGGATTTCAGTTCATTCCTGCTCTAGAAAATTTTACCCCTGGGGAAAGGAGTTTGTTATTGTAAATAACTACTTATTTCTTCTAACATTCTTTGTTCCACTCCCCTCTCTACCTCGGTGGATCAGGAAGGCTTATAAAACGTCAGTGGTTCATTTAGACTGCAGCTAATGTTTCCTGGAATTCTTTTTAATTTCCTTCAGAATACTGTAAGATGGAACCAAATTATTTCTGTCTTCCCCTATTACCATTAAGCTATCTTTTGATATTTCAAATTTGGTCTATTTCTGGAAGAAATGATGGAACTGCTTATATTGTGTCTCTTTTTACCTATTGAAAATTTCAGGAATTTTAGAAAAAGATGAAGAACCATAGTTAATCAGAAAAAGAAATAAAAATATGCCAGCTGTATGTATACCCTCTATTCATGAAAACCTGGCAAGTTACAGTAACTTAAACCTAAAGATGGTATTCGAAATATTAATTATGATTTAAATAACTGCTCACCTAACTTTTGAAAAATCAATGAGAAATAATATCCCAAACACCATCTTTCTTCTTTCTCTTTTTCTTTTCTTTCCTCCACTGACTCAATAAGTATTTATTGAGCCCCTACCCTGTCCTATGCCTATCAAATTTCTGTAGTCTGATGGCGGGCCCCATTTTTTTTCATGTTCCTTGTGTACTCAATAGTGAAATACTAATTAAGAACACAGACAGAATTAAAATTCAACATGATTTTCATTAATTATAGAAGCCAAGTAGATTGATTGATGAAAGAAAGGTTCATCTTTGGAGAAGAGAGATGCTGTCCTTCATCCATCTATATGATATCCATAATGGACATAATAACTATCAACATAAAGATAAGGCTTTGGGGGGAGGAGGTTTGTTTTTTTAAAGTATCTTAGATGTGTTTTCCACATAAACTGACTATTCTAGATATTTTTACACTCCAACCTACTCCCATTGCTACTTCCTTCTATACTCCTTCCTATTCTTCCCTTCCAAATCCTAGATGCTCTTTAAGGTTCACTCTGTTTTCATCAGTATCCATGAATCCTTCCACAACAGCCCATGGCACTCTGTTGCTTTTCTAAATTTCCAAAATACTTTTGTGTCCCACAATCTGGCATTTGAATTACACACTAATATTGTTCTTGGATTACTAGGAGTACCCAGTGATCAATTCTTTGAAGTTAAAGTCAATGGTTTCTACTTTTCTTCTTCTGTAGTTCTTAGCTTAATTTTGGGAAACATTTAAACTCTAGTAAATCTGACATGAGAGGAGAAAACAAAACCACAGAAACAATTATTTTCTCAACACGCTTCGGGTCCCTCATCTTAAGACTGTGGAGAAAATGAAGGATGCTGAGAAAAGAGATATAAAGGTAGAAAAAATAGTAGAAGATTGGCATAAATTAGGGAGGCTACAACAGTTAGGATTATTTCCCTTAAAGGAATAAAGACTGAAAGGAAATGGCTGAATAATATCTTCTAGTCTTTAATGATTCTCATATATTAATGGTAAATAGTTCTCTGACTCTTTCAAACACAACACAAGAGCATGGCTTAGAGTGGTCTAAGAGAGATTTTGGTTAGTCTCTATTCAAAAACTCTAGAGAGCAGAGAGACTTTCCATCTTAATTTTTTTTTACCTGATTCTCTAATTACAAGCTCCAGGTTAGAACAAGAGGAGTCTATTTCATTCGGAATATGTCAGTAATGAGATATAATCCACGTTTTCCAAATGTCCTTGCATGCATCCTTCTCAGACATCTTCTTTCTTTAGAAACTCTTCTATGAAATATACATTAATGAAAAAATTAGATACTCTCTTAATGTGACCTGAGGGAGTGAGCCTACCCTATTCCATACCTACCAATAAGAGTTTCCTCTGCTTCAAACTCTGAGTCAACCTTTTTCTAATATTGTTGGCATGTGGTAGACAGTGCGCTGGAAAGAATTAGAGTGTGTGAGTGTGTTTTCTGGCTTTATATTGTGTAACTGCATGGGCTGTCTTAGGCAAATGATGTCATTTTTCTCAGCCATGCTCATTTTTTTCTTTACATTTTTTAAATTGAAGTATAGCTGACACATGTTGCATTGGTTTTAGGTGCACAACATAGTGATTTAACAAGTCTATATGTTATGCTGTACTCACCACAATGTAGCTACCACCACAATCTGTCACCATACAATCCTATTACAATACCATTGACTATATTTCCTATGCTTTGCCTTTCATCTCCATGATTTACTCATTCCATAACTGGAAGCCTGTTCCTCCCACTCCCCTTCACTCATTTTGCGCATCCCTTCAGCGCCCTTCCCTCTGGCAACTACATTTGTTCTCTGTATTTATAGGTCTGTTTCTGCTTTGTTTCTTCATTTGCTTTGTTTTCTAGATTTCACATATAAATGAAACCATATGATATTTGTCTTTCTTTATCTGATTTATTTCATTTAGCATAATACCCTCTAGGTTCATACATGTTGTTACGAATGGCAATATCTCATTCTTTTTTGTGGCTGGGTAATATTACATTCATGTATATACATATATATACACACACATACATATATACACACATATATATACACATATACACATATACATATATACACGTACACACGTACATATATCACATCTTCCTATTCCATTCACCTATTGATGGGCACTTAGGTTGCATCCATATCTTGACTATTATAAATAATGCTGCAATAAACATAAGGGTACATATATATTTCTGAATTCATGTTTTAGTTTTCTTTGGGTAAACACCCAGAAACAGAGTTACTGGATCATATGATATTTCTATTTTTACTTTTTTGAGAAAACTCCGTACTGTTTTCCACAGTGGTTGCACCAATTTACATTCTCACCAAAAGTGCACATCCTCATCCACACTTTTTCCCCCATATCCTCCTCAACACTTGTTATTTCTTGTCCTTTTAATACTTGCCATTCTGAAAGGTGTAAGGTGATGTCTCATTGTGGTTTTGATGTGCTTTTCCCTGATGATTAGTGATGCTGAGCATC